CGAGTAACAAATATCCCTTTTTTCTTCCCTCCCCTTCCTCTTAAGGACTGGGGAAGTCAACAGAAGAAAGCAAACCGATCTTCAGAAAAAAACAAGAAGAAGCTTGGTGGGGAAGCTGAAACGAGGCTTACTAATGATATATCTCCAGAGTCTTCACCTGGAATGGGACGACGGAAGGCCAGAACTCCTCATAGTTTTCCTCACACTCGATACATGACCCAGATGTCTGTTCCAGAGCAGGCTGAACTAGAAAGGCTGAAACTAAGAATAAATTTCAGTGATTTGGATCAGGTTTGTGTGAATACTGTCTCCCACTATAAATGTGACTACAAAATTTATTCGCTATCTCTTAATAATTTGACAGATGAATAAAGAAAGCTTTCATAAGCAATTAAGATTTAAAAAAAAAAAAAATACCTTATAGGCACCATGGAAGGCAAATAAAAATTCTGGTTTTGAACTTGAGAAGATTGTTCAAAGTTCGGGACCATGGCTTTCCTGTACTTGAGAGTATGCTGGCTCTCTTCACTTTCTTCCTCTCAATTGTTAACAAATTCCTGTGTCCTCAAGTCAGTATTTCTTACTCATCATACTTGTCTGCTGCTCGAAAGTATCTGTTACCTTATTTTGAAAGTCTATTCTTGAAGTGCCAGTTTGTGATTCTGAACATGGTTTTTCTTGTGGATTAAGCAGCAGAGTAGCACTGAAAACTAACGTCAGTGGAGTGTAGATAAATGTACGGCATGAATTCTTGAGCCATAACTGCCTCGTTGGGAATATGGCACATTCATCCTTCCCTGACGCAAAACAATGAAAAATGTGAGGGATTGATTCTTTGGTAACAAGGCTAACAAGTTTCAGAATAGAGGCTTGTTAATATTTGCCAAAGTTTGTCATTAACTTGTTTGAGTTGTGAAGGTTCTTTCAAATGTGATTCGTTGCTTTGACTTAGAATATAAAGACTGGGCATAACTTCCTCCTCAAATGTATGTTACGGCAACAAGTTGCTATTCACAAGGTTCTAAAGAATAGCTGAAGTATGAGGTAGCATGTTCTACAAGTGAATATGTTGCTGTTTTATTATTGTTATTCTCTCAAATGTACCTGGAGAATTAGTAAAGGTAGAGGCCACAGCAAGGATGAGGAATTAAGCTCTTAGGAACTGCAGAACTCTTTTGCCTCTCAGCTGTTCTGGGAGAGTGGGCTTGCTTTCTGAAAACTGTGTGGCAAAAATCACCAGCACTGTCTTTAACTAGCTTTTGGCTAGTCAGTGGCTGATAAGGTAACTTTAAAATCAGTCTAATAATACTGCAGAACTGGTAATCCAAGCAGTGAAACTAATCAGTGTTGAGAATATACTGGAGGAAGAAAATAAAACAATTGTTCTTTTTTTGTTTGTTTGTTTATAGAGGAGCATTGGAAGTGATTCTCAAGGCAGGGCAACGGCTGCTAACAACAAACGTCAACTTAATGAAAACAAAAAACCATTCAACTTCCTGTCACTGCAGATAAACACTAACAAAAGCAAAGATCCTGCCTCAGGTTCCCAGAAAAAGGAAAGTGGGGTATCAGTGCAATGTAAAGAGTTGTTTGGAGCTGCTCTAAGCAAGGATTTCTTGCAAAATTGTCAAGTCTCTGCTCAAGAAGATGGAAGGGGAGAATCAGCTATGGATAGTAGCCAGGTATTTACATAGCCTATAAAGCCTAGAGAATACTGACTCTTAAAAAGGTTTTAATTACCTTGTTACTTTTCAGTGCATCTTTCTAAATTTCTAAAAAGTATAACTTAAATCTTTATTAGAAATACTTATCTTCCCACTGTTCTAAAAGGCAACGTGAGGAAAATGTGAAACCAAACTTAATTATGTATTATTCTTTAGAAACATGCTTACTGGTAACAGAAGCAGTATTAATTTTCATCTTAGAGGTTGATTCTCATTTGTACAGTTCCAGAAAGTACTCTCACAGTTGAATATTTTCCTAGGTTAATGATCTCCATTCTGGTTTAGGCTATGTTGACAAGAAGCCCTGTGCTTCAGCCTTGCAACTTCACTCATGCATAAATCTATCCTTATGAAGGCTGTTGACTTTTAAATGCCTACAGAAGTGTGCTTATAGGATTAAAAGTACTAGTATGTCAGCCCTTTAATTACTACTCCGCTGTTGCTATCGCCATGTCTTGTGCATTAAATACGTTAAAGCTGTAGCTGAATGCATTCAGTAATTTCAGTGTCTTTACAGATTGTGAGCAGACTAGTTCAAATTCGCGACTATATTGCTAAGGCCAGCTCCATGCGGGATGATCTGGTAGAGAAAAATGAAAGATCGGCCAATGTTGAGCGTTTGTCACACCTTATAGATCACCTTAAAGAGCAGGAGAAATCCTATCTGAAATTTTTGCAAAAGATGCTTGTAAGTTTGAGACCATAATATGTTTGTTTCTGCACTGTAAGTTTTTTTTCTTTTTAAGGAGTTGACCGTTGACGTTTTGATGGTGCTACTGGGGGTGTTGGTTTTGATATGTAGTACCTTCCATAATTCATTTTTACCGCCCCCTTATATAGCTTTTGATTTATGCCAATGAAATATTTCAGGCTAGAGCAAATGAGGAGGATGGTGTTCGGACTGTAGATTCAGCTGTGGGATCTGGTTCTGTAGGTGAGAGCACATCGCTAAACATTGATGTGCAGTCTGATGCTTCAGATACCACGGTAAGCTGACTTTCAGTAATTAAGGTGCTAGAAATGAAGACGTCGTTTTGGTTTTGTCCTGATTTGTTGTGATAGTGTCATAATCTACAGTTCAGTTAAAAAATAGTAGATCCCCAAACACTCTGTTCAGGAGGGGCTCATGCATATGTAGATATTTTTTTCGTTTGTTTGTTTGATATCGGGAAAAATTTTAATGGTTCTGTCACAACAGTGATATATCTTGATCAGTTTTTTAAAAATCTTTAGTCTTTCTTCGAAGTAGAATAAAGAGTTAGATGTTTACTTTGGCAGAGCATACAGCTGGGTTGATGTGGGAAGGAATAGTTTTCTATACAATTTTTTGTCTGTTAGTGGGGAAAACTTGCTGGTGTTGAGTGATGAGAGAGTGGGAAATGAGTCATTAGTGGACCATTGTCCAAGCATCTTTCTAGTAATGTGATAGAAGTATTGACCTAACACAGAAGTTTCTCTCTGTTTTTGGAGAGATGAGCACCTTTTAGAAAATGTGCTCTGAGTTTAGTTCTCAGATACGCAGTGTTCTTTCCTGTTTGTAAAAGCTTTTATATTAGCGTGGTGAGCAACTATAGTAGTAGATACAAAAGCATTTTAATAAAAACTTAAATTTTACATCTTCCAGTACTACTATACTGAGGAAAAGCATTGGAGAGCTGGTACTCTTTTAGCCGGTTAGTACTTCGAATGTTCTACAGATGAGGAGAATTTACGTGCTTGGAATTAAAATGACAGTAAAAACAATAAGAAGTTCTTGTAAATATTTTTAGCTTTGTAAGAACTCTTTCTGTCCCTTTAAAGAAGTAAAATTATAGACATGGAAGATATACTTTTTAACATGAAAGAAAAAAAATAATTGAAAAATGCAGAAAAGGACCAGTACAGTTTTCAAGAATGCATGGTAACCTTCTGTTTTTCTTCATCTTTGCAAAATGGGTTTAAGTTTTATGTTTGGCTTTGTTGTACATCTAATTTCTCTTTATATGCAGCTTGACTATATTACATGCAGAATGAATGCTTTGTCTTATGTGCTCTATGAAGTCTTGTTGTTACGAAAATTCTAAGAATGACTAAAAATGCCTTTGTTCTAGTAGATTTTATTTTATATTATTTTTTATTATTTGACAAGATACAAATGGGTAGGTTTATAACTTACAAATGCATGCCAAGTTGGTGCATGGGTTCAAAAATCTAACCTACTAAACTATTTAATAAAGGAGGCATCTTCTAATTTGAGCACTCAGCCCTGCATTGAGGACAAATGAGGGAATTGAGCTTCCCAAGAACAGGTTACAAACATGGATGTTACAGCAAGCCCTAAAGGGAAAAGTGATAGCTCTTGCTCTGAATGACAGGGAAATCTGGCCTTGTAACATTAATAGCCAAGAACATGGATTGCCTTCAAAGGTACACTTTAGGATATTATTTTAGCCTCCAATACATGCTGATTTTCTTTTCTTTTTTTTTTTTTTTATTCTTGTTAACTGCTTCAAATATATTTGTTACCTGCAGTGAATGCTCCCATTTGGCCTGCTTATCTGTATCCAGCTGTCTTTTCATTGAATGAATCTTCTTTGGCCAGAGTTTTTTTCTTTTGAGATGTTTGACAACTTTCTCTTCTGAAGTGTTAACGTTGACAGAGAAAGTACTACTTGTAACTCTGTGCGGCAGGTGTTCTGATTTTATGTGGATGATCCTTCCAGTTTTATTTTTCTCTTTCTGGGAAAACATTGTAAATGTGACTTTCAGACACTTGTCGTTTTTACACTAATAGTCTGCCAATGCAAATTTAAGGTAATATCATACAGAGAAAATAAATTAGAGAATAGTAGCCTTAACTTGTTCCACAAATATTTGTGTATAACTGCTCATATAAATATTTGTTTGGAAGGGTGAAGACTAAGGGGCCTGAAGTCTGGAACTTCTTTTGTTATCTGTTACCAGCTTTTCTATGGCTTTGTCTAATACTCTGATTTTTTAAAAAAAGTCTTAAGGTTGATTTTTTTTTTCGTAAAATAAAATAGGAGACTTAAATATTTTGTCAAGCTTATTAATTAATGAGTGTAAAACTAAGCTTGAAAAATTCGAGTTTTGATTTTAATGAACTGAAGAAAATCTGGTACTTTATCTAAAACTTGGATTATTTAATAGGCAAGCAAGACTAAGACGCATCCCCTTTTTCCTTTTCTTCCCCTCATTCCTTCCTGTGTTGATTTCATTGTGTGCTCTATTTTGCCTCTACTCTGCTTTATGTGTAAAAGATGAAAATTTAACGGGAATGATCAGCGCCAGTTGCAGTGCAAGTTTTAGTGACCCTTCTTTGAGGAGTTTAGCATTCTGGATGTGTTCTCCTTTCTCTGCTGGAAAGTTGAGCATTCTCTGGTACCCTGAACTGGTTAATAAGATACCCGCTTCTGTTCTGACATTTGGTGCAGAATTTTTGGACTGAGAGAATTTTGTACTCGAGGTACTCAGCACTATGTGGAGGGAAGATGATGCTTTTAAGTTAATGTTCTTTTTAAATGCTTATTCAACTCCTAACAAAAAGGAGGCAAATTTTTCCTTGTTTTCACCTGCATAGTGTGATAATCCAACTTCAAACAGGATCAGGATCTTAACTGTGGATGTCTCATTAAATACTTAAATTTGCTGACAATCTCTAAATAAAAGGTTTGAGGCAAATCTCCAGCTTTTAATTAGGATGAAGAAAATAACTTAGTTTTAATATATTTTAACCGCCCAACTTACTTTCATTCCTTCAGATCTATTTCTGTGTGTTTTAAAATATGGTATAGAGGGAGTTCTGTGCATGGTTTTGTTGTGAAATTGGTTTACCTGAATCTGGTCTATTCTGGTATCTATGGCATAAATATAGTATACAAAACTAAACACATTATACATTAGGGAAGAATAACTGCCCAAAATGTTCTGCGGGAAAATTTAGAGATTGAGGCCAGTAAATCAATCTAGATCTTGTATTACATGTAACTCTGTCATACTGTGCGTTATCTTGCTCAGCTTTACCAGTCTTGCTGCTTAATGTTGTCTTTTATGGTTCAAAGGGATAGAGGGATGCTTGGGCTAGTCTTTGGGACACTTAGGGCGGCTGACTGGATTTCTAAAGAAAACTTAACCCCCAGCAATGGTAAGCATGTCTTGGTGGTACAGGCTTCTCCTGATTTGATGTCTAAAATTTTTAGACTGTAAAGGACTATGGGAAAGGTGAAGCTGTTTCATTTTCACCTTTTTCCACTAACCAGGCTGTTTGATTCTATTAGTCATACTTGTTTTGACGCTTCTGTCACTGGTACTCAACAATCATTGTCATGATTATGATAATGTTCTTCCATATCTTGCAGGCCAGAGATCCTCAACAGGAAGCTAAAGAGGAGTTGGAGAACTTGAAGAAGCAGTATGATTTATTGAAAAGGATGCTACAACAGCAGGAGCAATTGAAGGCTCTTCAAGGAAGACAGGCAGCTCTTCTTGCTTTGCAGCATAAAGCAGAGCAAGCAATTGCTGTCATGGATGATTCTGGTATGTGGAATAGTGTTATCTTTGATACCTCATTAGCATGCTGATTGAATGATTAAAGCTGGAAATGTGGAATACACATTAACATTTTTTGTGTGTTTTTTTTTTAATAATGCACTTCAAAAAACTTTTACTGCAAGGCTTCTATTCTGAAAAGAGTTGACAGTGTACCATTGTAAAATGATGTGTCAGTTAAAACCTGCACAGCTGATTTCTGTGGTTCACTTGTAAAATCCTAAAAGAGGAAGTTTGTATACTAAGAATTGGTCTACCACGTCAGGATAGGAGTCTGTCTCTCATCTCCATCGTTGTACCAGGCGATGTATTTAGTTCCTTCCTTTCAAGGAAGGAACTAAAGTGGGGGATACCGTGTATTCTCTCCCTTTCGACATTATTCTGGCTATAGGCAGTTGGTAGTTTGAGTTTTCGTTTGTATTTTTATGGGATTTTTTTTTTTTGGTGGCTGGTTACTTGGTATTTTAATAGCTATTGGTAGACTAATGGTTATCCAATAAAAGAAAGGAAGAAGTTGCTAATGTAGTTATATAAGTAAATATGAAATTACAGCTCTGAAATTCTATGGCATGTAAGTTGAGGACATGGTTCTGATAACAGAGCACCACCATAATGTTATAACTGTCAGTTTAAAAGCATTCTTGTAATTTGTTTTCATATATTTTTCAACTTTTCAAAAATTATCTTTGGGACAGAGACTTCTTTTTGGTGTCTGTCAGCAGAGTTGTTTTCTCAAGAGTTCAGTCTTAAAAGGGAGACAGCTGTCCTTAATTTGTGCACTGTTGACATGTGAATTATCTTTTGTTTGTTGGAAACTTGTCCTGCCTCACCCTACCTCCACTACTCCCACTCCCTGCAAAATTCTGTGCAGTTTTTCTTGGAAATGGTGTACAGTTATGTGTGCGGTTGTAGGAAATGAGTTTTGCACTGAGCAAAATCAGATTCAATCTGTTTTACTATTCCATGAGTCTTTTTCTCCTGTCCTTAGTTTGACAGACTATAGGAAAGACGGTAGAACTAATTAAGAAAAACTCTTAAGTTTTAGCGCAGGAAGAGAAGCAAAGAAGTTGGTAGGTAGAAGGCTTTTAGAAAGCTATCACAGGAGCAAAAGAAGCAAGTGCGTTCAAAAGGTGTTTTCCGTAGTTGCTTTTCTCTATCTGCTCTGCAGTAGTAGACCTGTAATGGAACCTGTTTTCTCTTTTCTCAAATACACAAAACTCCATCTTGATGAGGAGTGGGTAGATGAAGTGGGTAGAAACTAGCATTACTTATGATATATTATAACTTCATTTTTTTTAGTTCTTTGATGTTTTTATTTGTTTTGTATTTACACTTATGTCACTGTTAATAACAGTTTCTTTACTGCTGTTTGTGTTGACCTACTTAGCGATGTGGTATGTGCCAAAACTGTAGGGCAGGAAACATAAATATTCAGATTCAACTTAGGGCAAAATAAATGTTTTTAAATTTGAAAATAGTAAAGCTTCATTGTGCAGGTCACAAAATCATGATCTATGGGGGGAAAAATAATATTTGTGCTTGATTTTTCTTATGAAGTGTTGGTTCATATTTGGGGAAAAAGAAAGTTACTTGGATTTCTCAACTGCCAGTTCCATTCTTAGTACTCTTTGAATTTGAGCTTTCAGGGAGAGGAAAAAGCTTTCTAATATATTCCTCTCATAAAACTTTTTGAAGGACAAACTTCCAAGACTCTGGTTGCAACTGTAAAGATTACAACTCATACCAAGATGAAAGCTTGGTGTCCATTTAATTTATTGTTTTAAGGAAGTAAAATTGCATACACTGTTCTTAGTTTAGATATACTGAGTAATAACCATTTTGTTTCTAACAAGGAAAATGTTTCCATCAACCCTAGACAATTTAGTTGTTTTCATTTTGCTCTGACCTGTTCAGCAAAACATAGAACAGACTTAAAAAGTTCTTTGTATGGTTCTTCATGAAAGAGCTGTGAGTTGGCTTGTTAGTATTGCTGTAATGGAAGTAATCTTGCAAGAGTAAAGTTGATGGGAAGGACGCAACATAAAAAGTAATTAATTGCTGCATTTTAAGAGATGCAGTATATTGGTGTTCTTGTTAAACCAAACATTTTCATCAAATAGCTTTTATTTTATCACTGTGGAAAAGTATTTACACTTTTTCCTCCTTCTTCTGCATACCCAGTTGTAACAGAGACTACAGGTAGTGTTTCAGGAGTTAGCCTTACATCAGAACTGAATGAAGAATTGAATGACTTAATTCAGCGCTTTCACAACCAGCTTCATGATTCTCAGGTCAGTCCTCGGGATTGCAGTGTGTGAGTTTTGCATTGTCCGTTTTTCTTATTCTTTTGAACAGTGCAGTTAAATGTTTGTCTTGCTTATTTGTGTGCATTTGCTACAGAGTACTTAAAGTTCCCCCAAACTTGGAAGCTCAGCATCTTTGTGTTCTGAAGGAGTTGAGCTGACTGATCTATGCTTTCTGTCTCAGTTTTCCATGAAAGTCCATAGAAGTAGTTTATCTATTGCAGTATAATTATATATTAATTCAATATATCATTGAGATATCATGAGAGCGTTTTCAGTATCATTTTCTCTTTATAATGTTCTTTGTTCTGGTGTTGAGCCTAACAAGCCTATAAGAGCGCTTTTTGTTTCTTACAGTTTGTTCGGCTTCTTTCGTCGTACTCTGAATAAAATGAAATTTCTCTTTTTAGACACAGTCTGTGCCAGACAATAGAAGGCAAGCAGAAAGTCTTTCACTTACGAGGGAGATTTCACAAAGCAGAAACTCTTCAGTGTCTGAGCACCTGTCAGATGAGAAGGCGCAGCTTTTTAACAAGATGCGAATGTTGCAGGGTAAAAAGCAAAAAATGGACAAACTGTTAGGAGAGCTTCATACGCTTCATGACCAACATCTAAATAACTCCTCATGTAAGTGAAAATAGGCAGAATTGTATCTTTTTAAGAACAGAACTTTTTTAATGCGCATGTTCGTAATGTGGTATTTCAGCTTGCAACTGGTTAATGAAATGCAAGTGATAAAGCTGTGCTGGGCAATATTACGTAAATATTTTTTAATGCTGTGTAAGTTTCTGGCTTAACGGAGAGCTCTACAAGTAATGATGATGAGTGTTTTTGCTAGTAGCGCTTTGGTTTATAACATTATCAGAGCTCACCAGTGTGAGGACGTGATGTTGAGATATGTTTTCTTCAAGGCTTGTTCTGTGACACTTCTGACTTGTGGAGTGTACCATATGAACCTGAACTTTCTGTATTTTTATCACAGTATATCTGTATGTACTTGGCACTTTAGATGTTAGTAGCTCTACAGCATTACGGGGTTTGCTTGTCCACTGTAAAAAGAAGTTAACCGGGTGATCAGGCCCAGTCA